CAGGTACAGTATTCTTGGCTGAAATTGCTTTTCCCTTAACACTTTGAATATATTTTTCCATTCTTTCCTCGCTCGTATTGTTTCTGATGAGAGGTCTGCTGTTAGCCTGATGGGATATCTTTTGTAGGTAACTTGCCATTTTTCTCTTGCCTGTCTTAGTATCTCATCTTTGTCTGTGGTTTTGGTCAACCTGGCTATAATGTGTCTTGGAGAAGATCTTCTTGGGTTGGTTCTATTTGGAGTCCTTTGTATTTCTTGGGACTAAATCTTTGAGTGCCTCTCTAGATTTGGAAAGTTTTCTTGAAGGATTTCATGGAATAGACTATCAATCCCCTTATGAGTCTCTTCGTCTTCTGGAATATCAATTATATGGATGTTTGGACATTTGATGGTATCTAATATTTCTTGTATAGTATTCCCATTTTGAGGGGGGCAATTTTCTCAGTCTTTGTGGTGGATTTTTCTAGGCCAGCAATTTTCTCTTTTATGTCTGAGATTCTATTTTCTGTATGATCTAGTCTGCTTTTAATACTTTCAAGGGAAATTTTGATTTCCTGTATTATAGCCTTCATGTCTAATAGGTCCATTTGATTCTTTATTAAAGTGTGAAATTCCTCTTTTAGGTCTTGCAAGAATTTTCTCACCTCCTGGAACTCGTCAGCTCCTTTTTCCTGCCTCTTCCGCAGTTTGTTGTCTCTCTTCTCTTTCATCTCTGTTAGCTTCATCATTATGAATATTGTAAAAAATGTTTTGGAGAGGTTTTTGCTATAAGGGGTATGCGCTCGCCAGAAAGACAGAGAGAGACAGAGAGACAGAAAGCGAGAAGTCACCCCCCAAGGGGGATGACCACGCTGCAATCCCTTCCCCTCCATTCTCCTCTCGGGATCTTCGGCACGCATGCACATGCGCCCAGTATGAGTTCAAGTCACCAGGTCTGGGATTCAAATCCTGGTCAGCTACATGGGAGTTTATCAACATAGCCATTACACTAACTGCTGATCCCAATATTCTAAATTCTTTATCAGACATTTCCCTGATTTCTATTGAACAGTCTGTAGATGAAGAGGAGTTATTCTTTTCCCTTGGAGGAGAAGTATTTTCTTGTTGTCCCATATTTCTTGTGACCTCTTCTAGTCATCTGATGGATGGTGTGTTTCTTCCTAATTCTTGAAGTTCAATCTGAGCGTTCAGGAGCGTGCAGAAGGAGGTGATCTGGAATCTTTTTGCTGTTCCATTTTTGTCCCTTTGTGCAGCAGATTCAGTGGCTATTGAGGAATATGTTAACCCTAATAGTATTTGATGTTTGGCTATGGTTCCCTTAGATCTGTCTAGAAACACAGAGACTGGAGACTGAGGAGAAGAGTGATGAGATAAAAGAAAAAGAAAAGGAAACAGAAAGAGAGAGAGAGAAAGGAAAAAGAAACAAAGAAAAAGAAGAAAAAAATAAATAAAAACAAAAAAATTATTTAAAAAAAAAAGCAAAAAATAAAAAACCGCACGGCATGCGAGCAAGCTTTACAAAATCACTAGTTCTCAGGAGCCATGGAGGAGTCTTCTGAAGGCCCGCCCCTTGCCTCGCCTCAATAGGAAGGGGGAATGGGCTTATTAGCAAGATAAAGGAGGGGCTGAAAGCCAAGAGAATATTTTACCTTAAAAAGTTTTTAAAGGAAAAATTCCAAAAAATGAGAAGACAGAGACAGAGGCAAAGAGAGACAGAGACAGAGAAGTTTAGAAGGATTCCCTACCACTCAAGTTTGGGAGCTAGAGGCTGAATTATCAGTAGAAAATCTTCATTTCTCTTTTTTCCCTGAAATCACTAGTTCTCAGGAGCCACGGAGGATTCTTCTTCTGAAGTCCTGCCCCTTGCCTGTAATTTGCAGACTGTTATTCACACTTGATTAGAGAAAAGATCCTAACAGATATTTTTAATTATCAGAGGGCATGCGCTCCTGCCAGTGAGACATAGGAAACAGAGAGAAAGAAAAGAGAGAGAGATAAAGCAACACCACGACCACCACCCCCATAGACATGGTCACACTGCAATCCCTTCTCCGTTTCTCCATCCTGTTGAGATTTGGGGCACACAAACATACACACACACACACACATCTAACATGTTTTTAGCCACCAAGGCTAAGACTTAACACCACAATCAGCTATATGTGATCCAGGTTCCCTGACCATTAGACCATAAGGTCAGCCCAGCTTTGCGCATGAGACCAAAACCATAACAGGAAGCAGCTAAGTCTTGGAAGATGAGTATATTTCACTTGGGGGAGGAATGTAAATAGCATTTGTCTAGTTTTAGATCATGGAAGCAAATTCTTTGACATTTCTCCCATCAGAGGAGGCAGCTGTGGTCCTTCCTCCTGAGTTGGAATGAGCTTGTGACCCCTCCACTAAGAGAACAGTGGGAATGGACCCCTGGGACCCTCACAGTTGACCATGAGAGGCCACGTGCAGCTTTGCCTTGTACAGGGGATCCAGCCAAGAGCTCCAGCTGCAACCATCCTTTGAATCACTCCAGATACTACATGTGTAAGTGAAGAAGCTTTCAGGTAATTCCAGCCTTTGGCTTTTCAAGTCTTTCCAACAGAAACCCCAGACAACCTGGGGCAGAAACAAGACATGCAGTGTACTGTCTGATTTCCTCGTCTACAGAATCTAGGAGCACAGCACAGTAATTGTTTATGCCACTGCATTGTTTATTAAGCAGCATTAGAAAAAAAAAAAAGAAGAAGAAGAAGAAGAACAAAACCTGAGAAAGCTTGCCACCCAAAGGTCCCCACTAAAAAGAGGACTGAAGGGAACCAGCAGTTAGCATAATGGCTATGTTGCTGGACTCCCACGTAGTCGACCGCGGTTCGTGTCCCACACCCGGTGGCTTAAAACTCACGCCGGGCGTGTGTGCGTGCGTGCCCAAGATCCCGAGAGGAGAATGGAGGAGAAGGGATTGCGGCGTGACCATCCCCCCTGGGGGGTGATTTCTCGCTTTCTGTCTCTATGTCTCTCTCTGTCTGTCTGGCGAGCGCACGCGCCCTACAGTGAAAAAAATCTCTCCAAAAAAAAAAAGGAAAATGAATCCAGAGAGTGCAATCTGGGTTACAAAGAAAAACGGTCAAATTGTAGCACCTATAATAAATTTATGTTTTAAAAATTCCATCTTTTTAAAAGATAAATAAAGTTAAACAGAAGCGGCACTGGCCCTGCTCCTGGTCATCACCATGAGACATGGAGCTCTCTTCTTTCCTTCATGGCGCTCCACCTACACTACCTTTATTTATGTTATTGCTTTTGCTTGGTTGGTTTTGGGCTTTTGGGGGGGGTTGTTTGTTTTTGTTTTTGTTTTGCTATAGGGTGCGTGTGCTCACCAGAGAGAGACAGAAAGGGAAA